ACGAATGTCTGGAGAACGCGCAAGAACAACTCTTTATATGTCCTCCTTAAAGAGCCTGTGCCCTCCTTTCGACGACGAGTGTAGACTCTACCACAGTTCTTGCACATTATTTTGTAAACTTCTTCATTTTCTTCTACCACATTAAAGTGTTACAAAACAAATGGGTGCAATCTAGAATCACAGGGCATGATTTAACTTGAATTAAGAATTTGAGTTTGGGAAATGAGAGATGAGTGAAGACTTGAATACTTCAATTTGATTTTGAGAAATGAGAGAGATTGATGAATTTGTGAGTAAAAATGAAAGAATGAGGTGGTATTCATAGTTGAGAATAGGGAAAAAATATAATTATAAAAAGTTTGGGGGCCAAATGGCTATTTTTGAAAGTGCCAAACGACTAAAAATGCAGGCCAACGGCTACATTTTAAAATTCTGACCGTTGGCCTTTTTTTTAAAAATTTTTTTTTAAAAAAAAAAGCCGTTGGGCCCGTGTAGCCCGTTTGAACCGGCCCAGGCCCGCCTGCCGGTCCCGGGCTCGCGGGCTTTTTTGTAAGGACCGGCCCACTGTGGGCTTTTGGACCGCTAGAGACCGGCCCGTTTGAACCGGCCCGTTTGGCACGCGGTCCCGGGCCGGTCCCGGGCTGGGCCCGGACCACAATACAGCCTTATACCTCTCCACTTCACCAGATTACTTGTATTTGACTTTAAACACCCACTTACACCCTATAGGAACTTTTCCATGAGGAAGAGGAACAATAGACCAAGTGTTGTTTTCTTCAAGAGCTGAGATTTCTGCTTTCATGGCCTCAACCCACTTGGGGTCCCTACTGGCTTCTAAGAAGGATTTAGGTTCTACAATAGCAGAAAATGCAACAAGAGAAGACCTATAGGCAGAGGACAGTCTATCAAAGACTACATGATTTGAAACAGGATATGCTGACTTAGTTGATGGAACCACATAGTCAGCTCGCCACACAGGAGGTTTGGTGGTCCGGGATAATTTTCTGAGTGCTAAGGAAGGAACAGAAGGTGCACCAACAGAGAGTGGTGAAGAGTGTGGTGAGGATAGACTAGGATGGACAAGGTCTAAAGGAATGGAAGAAGGAGAGGGGGAAGAAGATTCAGCTGCATCTGTAGAGTGTTGGCTAGGTGAGGCTGCATGAGATTGGTTAGGAAAAGTTGTAGGATACTCAGTATTAGTAGGATCAACTGCTGGTTGAGTAGATTGTTCTACTAGCTGTAGACATGTGATTTTTGACCCTCCCCAAGATTTTTAATATTTTAGCACGTAAATATTTAATTTAGGCCTAACATAGCTATTTTAAGTAACTTTTACTCTTTTACTTCGTTTTATTACAAGAAAAAAATGAAAATTACAAAAATTATTCCATTAATGTTTTGTAGTCATTTTTAATCTTGAAAAAAAATACAAAAAAATAGTTTATTTTAACGTTTAGTCTTATTTTAATAGTTATTTTATATAAGTAGGAATAATTAATAAATAAGATCATATTTTAGTCCCGTTCGCGGAAAAAGAGTAAAACTTGGGCTCGAGCAACCCATTTTTAGGCTTAACTTTGAACCTAGCCCATAATTTCCAAGCCCATAATTCTTAGGCCCATACCCCTAACCTAATCCCTAACCTATATAATAGTACCTACACCTAAAATATAAACACACACCAAAAACCCTATGGAATCGGCCGTTTCTTCAGTTAAAATACAACAAAAAGAGCTAGGGGGACCTTTCTTCTAGATCAACGAAAATAACAAGGCCCCTCCCACGTAGCTTCTCCGTCTTCTTCTTCATGGAGACAACAAGAAAACTCCGTTGAAGCTCCTCCATAGCGCCACCATAGCTTCAGCCGTACAACCTCACCCGAAAGCAACCTTGAAAAGGTCAAAAAAAAAAAAACAGCTCAAAAATGCACCAAAACAAGCTGAAAATAGCTCTGTTTTTCAGTCAAAACGACCTTTGAAATAGCATCCAAAACCAGCTGCAAACAGCCCCGAAACCCACCTCTAACACCACCCAAAATCGAGCTTGAAACTAAGCTCAAAACTAAGCCCCAAATAGATGTGTTACTGCTGGAAATCCAGCCCCCAAGACACCATTCAAAGTTGCCGAGTTGTGTCAAAGTTCGAGAGTTTCCGTCGAGGTCACCGGTTTGGCTAAGCTTCGGTCTTAGTTCTCGTTCATCATACTACTACAGTTGTAACGGAAGAAGCTTTTGCTCCAATAAAGGTCCAATTTTTAAATACTTTTGTCCATTTCATTCCCTTTTAACTTTGATATGTGATTAATCCGGTGTATGATTTTGGTGTTATGTATAATGTTTGATGATATTATCCATTTATCACTTGTTCAATTAGTTAATGCAAGATTTTATTTTAATTTTTTAGTATATATTTTCTATTTGAATAGAACTTGTTCGATTTGCATTTGAATTACTGATGTTTCATCTCTTATTAGATTAGTTCTTCGTAATACTAATTAGTTTATTTGATGGGCTTTAGTAAGTGATAAAATATCAAAAGACAAATGGTCTATTTGTTTGCTTGTTCGTTATTTTTGTTTGTGAGTTATTATTGAAACTTGCTAAGCACACACGCGTCAGGCTTGTCTTAATTCATTGTCGTGGCTATGTATACGTGTGCGTGACATAATTGTGATGCCAAAACAAACCAAGGCACACGTTCGCGTGACCATGGTCAAATATTCTTAGTAAATAAATGCCTTAATCAAATAGTCGTAGCTTACTTTAGGCTCAACTTAGATTATTATTGTAATTATGTATACGTTCGCGTAACATAATTGCGATTTTAATCCTAAAAAGTAACTCGAGGGATGCGTTCCCGCAACTTCAACCAAATCCTTCTTAATAAATTAACAAAAGCGTTATTAATCGTGGACACGTTCGCGTGACATGATTTTGACGTGCCAAAAGAAAAGNCCCCAAGATTTTTTTATATTTTGGCATGTAAATATTTAATGTAGGCCTAATATAGCTATTTCAACTATTTTTGACTTCTGTACTTTATTCTCGTCATAAAAATTGAAAATTACAAAAAAAAATATTTTAGCTTACGTATCTTTCATAAATTTAAATAAAAAATATACAAAAATAGTACCTTATTTTTATCTTTATATAATCTTGAAAATATAAAAAATATATATAATAGTTTCATGTTAGTTTTTGCATTGTGTAGTATTTTTATCTTATTTTAAAAAGGAGTCAATTAAGGTGTTGGATCACAATTTTAAGAGTTTTAAAGCCCAATTCTTGGCCCAATTCGGATTAGTCCATTAAGCATAGGGACCCTTCTAGACTCTTTTTTTGAACAAAAACAAATAAAAAAGACCCTAAGGACTTAACACAAAAGACCTAGGGACTAATTGGCAAAATACACAAAAATACACCTAAACCTAGACTCTACATATAAAGTAATGCTTAAAATCTGAAGAGGAGATACACAGTGCATGAGCGCAGCTTTTACTGACCCCCCTATCGGATATCTTCTTCTTCACAAAAGAAAAGACCAAAGAGCTGAAAGAAGACATTCCAAAGAAAGGAGACCATCGTCTCCATCTCCCTTTGCAAAAAATTTCAATCGCCGCTGCTCCTTCGTCACATCAGCTTCACCACCTCCAAACCACCACTAAAACTCCATTTCTNAAAACTTCCTCGATTTGGGATTTAAAATAAACCGGTGACTTGGGACACCAAATAAACTATCCCAAGTGGCGACTCTGATAAATAAATAATCCCATTTCGGATAATGTCACTTTAATTGAAAAAATTCCCTTATTACCCTCGGGGTGTAAAAAAGGAGGTGTGACAGCTCTGACGACTCTGCTGGGGATAAGAACCCAGAACTTCTGGTTCAGGGTTCAAGAATTCGAGCTTGTTAATGTGATTTTTATTTGGCTTTATTGTTAATATTACTGTATTTTGTGGCTTAATGTGCTAATTATCATTTACCGCTTTGATATTACTTGAACTGTATTTAAATGTCTTCTTAGGCCACTCCTCGGAGTCTTCTGAAAATGGTGCACACGTTCGCGTGGCCCGCTTTTCTGTAGAAAATTATACCAAATAAGACGGAGCTGGGCAAGCAACAAGGCCGGGCAGACTTTCGTGCTCCCGGTACGTTGCCCCCTCCTCGACCCCAGTTGTCCGCTCGGGTAACCCAAGTCTAGTCCACA